ATTGTTAGCTCACTTGACAGGACCCAAAGTTAAAGTTGATATTAGGCTTGCATGTAAAGGGGCATCTTAAGCCACGTGATAGAACCTGACATTCATAATGAGCTTGCACGTGAAGGGGCATATTGAATGGGAAAATCCCACATCGAGTGTATAATGAAGAAACTTGTGGGTTAAATATAAGGAAGGCTATTACAACCATTGCTAATTGATTTTAGGTTGGATGCAAGTCTTGTGTTGAGCCCACATGTACAATTTTCACTTGGTATCAAAGCCAATATTCTATCTTGGGAAGCCCATTGTTAGCCCACTTGATAAGATCCAAAGTTGATACTAGACTTACATGTAAGGGGGTGTGTTATGTCACGTGACAAAATCCGACATTCATAGCAAGTTTGCACGTGAGGGGGCATGTTGAGTGGGAAAACCCCACAATGAGTATAAAAGTAAGACGTTTGTGGGTTAAATATAAGGAAGGCTACTCCACTTATTACCAATTGGTTTTAGGTTGGATGCAAGCCTTGTGTTGAGCCCACATGCACAATTTTCACATTCCTATAACACCCATTGTTAACCCACCTGACAGGATTTGAAATTAAAGTTCATACTAAGCTTGCATGTAAGGGGGAATGTTAAGCCACGTGATAGGATTCGACATTCATAGTAGGCCTGCATGTGAAGGAGTGTGTTGAGCAAAAAAAATCCCACATCGAGTGTATAACGAAGAAACTTGTGGATTAAATACAAGGGAGGTTACTCCACCTATCACTAATTGGTTTTAGGTTGGATGCAAGTCTTATGTTGAGCCCATATGCATAATTTTCACATGGTATCAAAGCCCAAATTTTATCTTGGGAAGTCCATTGTTAGCCTACTCGACATGATTTGAAGTTGATACCAAATCTACATGTAAGGGGAAATGTTAAGTCACGTGACAAGACCCGATATTCATAGTGGGCTTGCATGTGAATGGGCATGTTAAGTGAGAAAATCCCTAATAAGTTTATGGGTTAAATACAAGGAAGGCTACTCCATTTATTACCAATTGATTTTAGGTTGGATGCAAGTCTTTTCATAGAAGCTGAAAAAAAAGGTTCTTTTCTGTTTTTTTAAATCTTGCTTAAGTCTTTGTTTCTAAAGATCATGCACTATGAACCTTGATTATTTGATTTTAGGTTTTGAGGACGACATTTTGTAGATAATAATCATGTTTTCATTAAGTTTCCTTGTAATAGTATGAAAAGAAGAATGGCAAAGGAGGAATACCCTTATCTTATTTCAATTGAGGCCAGCTACTTAACACAAACTATAGAAAATGTTACTAATTTCTCTCAAATTCATCGAAGTAAGAATATACTGTACTTGTTTTACATTTTTTTTCTTTTTGAAATAGTATTTGACAACATTTTCCTTCCAAGATGATGGTGGAACTGTAAGGATTAGTGCAAGATGCATTGGAGGACGAACCTCCATCAAACTGATCATTCATCATCAGGGTAACCGATACAATCATGATATGGTACTATATAATCTTAATTAAATTATATTTTTTTTTATACATCATGTTATAATATGCTAAGATTTTAATTGCTTTACTCTTGGTCAAAATGAGGATGGAGATACCATTATTTTTGAAGAGCCATTTGGAAGAGATAATGTATGGACAATTGTGTTTAACCTTTTTAGGGTTTATCAATCTGTTGCTAATGCTGTTCAAGGAGGTGTTAGATTTGGCTTTGATAATAGGTGAAATTCCAATGGCTTTCTAAAGAGTAGTTTAGGTGTACTTTTTCTGTTGCTTCAGCTTTTCATCATATGAGTTTGGCTGAAGACCTACTGTACCAATGAATGGGTGTTTGTTGGTAGGTTGTTTTGTTTCCATTATTTTCAAATTCAAGTTTTTAGGTTACCAATCATTTGTTAATTCTGTTTTTAATGGTGTCAGGTTCTTGCTACATGTTGATGATGCATTAAGGGTCATAAAGCAACTTTTCTTCTCGTTTAACTCTTAAGAATGCACATCATTGAAACCATGTGACTATTGCACATCATTGTTTCTAACTTTTGATCCATTTACTTCTCAAATGAGACTTTTGTTCTACTATACGCTTTTTGGTCTGTATGACGAGTGCAATGTTTTAGATTCATGAGATATTTTATTGTCCAACATTGAGTTCATTGTTTAATCTTGTTACATATCACCAATAGCTTTTGTCCTTGTGTAACACCAATGTTTAGCTTGGTTAAAAGAAGTATACAAGTTGAAAGCTCATGTTGAGATTGAGTTTGAATTTCTCACCTCCCACGTTGTTTGGATATTAAATTTTCAGTAATTTCCCTTGTTCTGGTGGATTGAAGAGTAGTGACTCACTTGAGCTTCTAGCCTGGTACCTTCAATTGAACCATCTGGTCATGAGGAGCTTGTGGGTTTTTGGACCAAAACTAATCAAGCTCACCAGATGCTTCTTTAGGTGGTTGTTCTATGAGTTTTTATCTTATAATTTGTTCTTCTTGGTAACTAAGAAGCATTGGTAGTCCACTTGCTCACCACTATATGTCTACAGAATATTCATAGGATTAAAACAATATTACAGTCTTCATTTTCTCTTGCATTAGTCTTGTTATAATTGGGCTTAATTTCTCTCTTGCTTAGACTTTTATTTAATTCGCATTTTATGTTAAAATTGGTTTTCTTTTATTTTTTGGGTAGTCTAATTAGGTTTGTGAGGGAGCTTGAGTAGACAAAAAGTTAAGGGGGCTTGAGCTTGTCCTCAACTTGTCAACGTGGATTAAGGCATCATGACATGAAACTCAAAACTGATGTCAAATCTATTATACTATGTATGATTTACTTATAAAAAGAAGATGATATAGACATTGTACTTTCCATTATTACATAACTAAGAAGTAGAAATATCAAATTAAATAAAATTGATCGATCCACAAAACAAAAACATTTAAACAAAGTAAATGAGGACATCAAGTAATCCATTGAAAACAATAATGTGTTTCACCATTAATCCAATTGGTAAGTTATCATCCTATATGAGCATCTCAAGTGAGACCAAGGTTTCAATGTATGGAATCATAGCAATCTTGCCAAGGCCATGGACTTCAATCTTTTTAACTGATGCATCTTTGGGATTGTAAAGAAATAACTTTGCTATATCATTGTCTTGTTGTGTTCATTTGTCAAAACTTGTCCATTTTTAGTGAAATGTATAGAGAACTGCAAGGGATTATTTAGGGGATAATGGTATGCTGGAAAACTGAATTGTCTATTCTAAGATTTTGCTTCTTCTTTCATTACAAACACATTATATCATACTGCAGAACTGTAAGAAATGCTCATCAGACAAGGTGATCTTTCCAAAATACCCAACACACATATGGTTTTATTCAATATGACATCATTTGGAGATTTGAATTCTCTGACCATCTTTGTCTCTATATCAAAATTTATTATTAGGAAATAAGAAATTCCAAATTATCATTCATTTGACTACCAATCTAGAAGATGCAACCGTTAACAGTCTTACCCATTTCATGCATTCCAACATCAAACCTGCACTGTATATCATTTCGATCGGTGTTCCATGAACCCATCTTCATTCTCGATATATGGATTGTTGTTGGTTTGATTCTAGAAGGACTTACAATGTTTACAACCTTGTAATCATCAATATTTGAATCATGACAAAAACCTAAACCATATATATACTCCAACTCTGATGCCTAAAATCTCTTGTATGCCTTTGTTGAAGGGTTCCAAATGACAATGCTATAAGCTTCAGGAATGCATAACATCCCATCACACTCTGCTACCCTCTTCAATGGAAAAAAACTTGGCAAACTTTGGAGGAGCTTGAATTTCCACTGCTTCAACAACCCCTTGATACTCGTTCTTCAACTCATTGGGAATTCTAAGCACCATGAATTCTGGATTTAAACCGTATCTATGGAGGATGAAAAGCTAGTGATTCTCAGTAGAGTTCATCATTTTTTTCCATGATTTCTGATGAATTTTGAATCAAAAAGTAGATCTACATCCAATTGTTTTGACACACATTTAAATTGTAGTAGAGATTTTACTAGAATTTGTGCAAAACATCACCAACAACATCACCATGAAAATTAGCCATGATATTCTAGCTATGAAACAATGGGGAATTTTTTTTTTTTGGCCAATGAAACAACATGAAAGTCTGCATTATATTTATAGTCATAATCTTTGCAAATCTGTCTCGAATTAAAATTAAATAAACTCCTTTTTCATATTCAACTAGCATTGTATTCAAAGAGTCCTTTTTTAATAAGAACATGACTTCTTTATGCTGAGGGAAAAAAAAAAAAAGGCAAAAATAATATACTAGTCTATTTGTTTCCATTTGATTACAGAAATTGAAAGAAAAACAACCCTGTTGGCAAAACTCGGGACAAAACAAAAGATTCAATACAATATCTAGCCATTTGTATCAATGAAGAAACAATAAACAATCACAATCCATGACGAATTGTGAACACTTAGACAAAATTAAAAAGATGAAATTGGTTTTTGAGATGGCAAGCCACCCATGAATAATTAAACACTATATGCAGAAATAGTGGAGTGAGAGTTTTTTTTTTTCTTTCTTTTTTTTTTTTTGTTTATTGTTTAGGACTACTCTTGTGATCCATCATTAGCTTCGGCAGCAGCACCACCACCACCACCGCCACCACCCTTCTCTTCTGCTTCTGCTTGGCCCTCAGCTGTTTCAGAGGATGTTGAGGCATTTCTTTTGTGGGAGGTAGCCTGAAGGACATGGTTGTAGCTTCCTTTCTCCATGAACAACTGAGCAAAGTGGTGCTTGCAATAAAGGACACCATCAAGGGCTGCATATGAGGAGTGAGTTAGGGGACACCCTCCATGGGCACACCTGAAGCATGACTTATGGTAACACTCCCCCTCCAAAGTCACCTAAATTCATATAATAATTACTTTTAACTATGGAAGCCAACATCATTGAAACACAAGGAAAAAAATTGATGTAAATTGGTTAACCTTTTCCAATGGATACACAGTCTTGTTGCAAGTGGCACACTTGTCTTGAGTTCCAGAGAACATGGAAGAGACTTTGCTAGGAATCCTAGACTGTAATGATTCATCAAAAGAAAAAATAGAAGTTACAAACAAGTTTAGAGAGGAAAAAAAATATGAACATCACAGGTCCTATTTAAAGTTATGTTACATGAACTTGGGATAAGTACCTAACACGAGCTTTTTAATTTTTCCTTTTTAAAATTTGAAGCAATTGGGTATCTAAACAATTATAAGATGCAGATTTGTCAATGTAAACAATTACATACCAGCTCATTCTGCTTGTCAGTTTTTGCTGTACAGTTAATCATGATAAAGAAAACATTGTAGTTAGCAGATTTTGTAAACACCATAAGAACATCCTAAAAAGGAAATTAAAAAAAAAAAAAGAGAGGGAGGGCATAATACCTATCTGAAAATTCTTGCTGAAATTGCCAGACTCTTTGAAAAGTTGCTCAAAATGAGGCTTACAATAGAGAACTCCATCCATGGATGAGTAGTTGCTCATCTATCAACAAAGAGAATGAAACTTTTCAACATTCCTTAAGTTTGAAAATTAAAGGTGTTAGGTTCAGACATTAAGACAAAGCTATTCATCATTGCTTGGTGTATTCAAATTCAATAATGAGAAATGCCAAAACAAAACAAAAGAATGAGATAGATCTTAATTAATATGTACCACGAGGGTTCCCTTGCAATGGCTGCACTTGAAGCAGGACTTATGGTAAGGAACTCCTTCAAGAGACAACATATCAACAAAATAAACAGTCTTATCACAAGCCTTGCATTTGTCGAGAGTTCCAGTAAACGACATTATTGATTTTTTCTTGTGAATGATCCGAAACCCTTATATGTGGTCTGAGGAACAAGGAACTTGTCCAAGAGGAAAAAGAAAGAAGTTTTATTGGTTACCTCAGATAAATGAAAATAAACAAACTCTTTGTTCTGTTTATACAAAACTATTTTATATATCAAATTATAATGGATTTTTTCCTTTTGCTTGTAATGGTGTACATTTGATTGGTGATTGAAGGACACGTGATTGGAGATCCCAATATTATGAGGAAAATTTGAATGAACTAGAGAGAAAAGAGGCTTTGACTTTTTCAAGAGAAAATAACAGAAAATTTTTGGAAATTTCCCTCTATTTTTCAAGGGTTGTTTTGGCCACATTTGCCATCCATCAAATGGAATTTTCTCATGCTTTTGAGCAAAATAATAATAAGAGTTTGAGAGGGATATTTTCTCTATTGATTAAGATTTTAAGAACCATTTTTCACAATAAGAAAATTATTACTCATAAGTACCCACAATGGGTCTTCTATGAAGTTGTAACCGAGTTACAATTTATGAAGATAAAAGTATTAGTTACGGGGTTTTGTGGAGGCAAAGCCATAGACACAAGATGAGGTTGGAGATGGTCATTCCATGCCAGTCAATCCTCCAAGAGCAATTGACACCACCACTAAGATGGATTCAGGAGCACAGAGAGTAGGTCCTTTACCCATTAAGGCCAGCTTTAGTGTCTTAATATCAAAGGGAGAATTCAAGTCATATTTCATTTATCCCCAATGCCATGCCTACAATGGGCTACGTTATAAAGTGGGATCAGAAGGTTCAATTTCTAGTGATCACCAACAATACAGGCTAGAAGTGTCCAAATCTATTTGTGGGACTGGTGGCAATGAAGGTTCATGTAAAACACTGCCCTTCACATCAACTTTAGGGTTATTTTCTTGCAACTTTGGTCTCATGACTCTGTGTGGTTCACCTCATCTACCTGAAAATCAGTTCATTCCAAACCTGAGCAAAAGGTCCTTATTCCTTGTGATAATAGTAGCTACAACTCATTCCATTTCCAACCTACTAAATAAATCTAATCATGAACGTGAGATAATTCAAATTAAGCTAAACCATTACAAGAGAATAAAATGAAAAATCCCAAGACATCCAAGGTACAAAGTATAAAATATTTAATCAACACAACATCTACAAAGTAGAGATTCCACATTATTTCTTGAAAATGTGTCATGCATCAAGTGATGCATACTCAATTTTATATGACTTTTATGAGGTCTAATATTTAGTTTTTACCAAAAAACTTTGTGATGTTTTTAGATAGTAAAACTGACCCTATGCTAAATATATGTAGTACTTTACAATGGAAACCCGAAAATATGAAGAAACATCAGTGTAAATGGGAGAAAAGTAATGTTGCAATGTTTACAATTAATAATTTAATATCTTACTAAAATCTCAAAAGGGGAGGAAAAGTGAAAGCATATATGAAAGTAAGATCTCATACCATTGGTGATGGGGACAAGGCAACATTGGAGGCAACCCTTGAAGTGCTTGTAATATTTGGTTGGTATCTTTCTAGACAAATCAAATTAAGGAGTCACAGGTTAACATATGATATTTTTCAGAACAAATTTGAGTCTTGTGTTTGTCCCTACATACTATGTTTGCAATTAGGCCAGTTCCTCTCCCTATAAACAAAGGAAAACCCTAAACAACCATTTTGAAACTGTACTACCATGAGGAATATCAGAGAACAACTTAAAAAGGTAGCTAATAGGCTATCCCTTTCATAATGAAAGCAAAGGAAAACAAAACCAACTAGCTTGATCACACCATCATAATTTCATCAAGGTTTGGCCTTTCCATTGGAATACTTAAGCAAGATAATCCTAAAAGCACACAGAGATTTATGCATAGGAAAATTAGAACATTTAAAGATTAACTTGCAAAGAAAATTTGAAGAACAAAAACCCATTTCCAAGATCACTTCACAAAGCTATAATATCCCACAAAATTCATGAGATTCTAGCTTCATCCCTTCAATTGTGAACTTTCAATTCACATATCAAAAGCTCAAGTTCTACATGCAATATCATTTTGAACTAAAAAAATCACTGGAATAAAACCAAGTCACTTGTAATATGGGGAAGAAATTGTCTTACCTCTTCTTCTTGTAGTAAGTGGTAAGGGGTGAGCTGGTGAGGTCACCAGCGTAAAAGGAAAAAAAGAAATAGTAGAACCAAAAAGGCAAAGAAGGGCCAAAATGGCGGTGCTCTAATAAATAAAAACAAGCAGGGTCTGTCGAGAAAAATTACCAAAATTATAATCCACCGCACTCGGCACGACTTAGCCCTAGGCAGACACGGACTTTCTTGCTTCTCCACAAACCCCTTCCAAAACAAAAATTAAATTCATCCCTGCACTCCCCTCCTTCCCCAAAACTAAATCATCCAATTTCCTCTTTAAATCTCGCCGCTTTACTCTTTCACCGTAGATCTGTACGGGCTTCTTCCAAATTCACGATCCCGTCCTCTGAAACAAAACCCTAGGCCATTTTCCTTCCGAAACGAGTATTGCCACCTTTTACGGCTTTACAGGAAACCCTAGGTTCAGTTTCTTTTTAGGTTTTTGTGTACAGATATCTTGTTCGTTTTTAGGTTTTTGAATCTGGTCTTTGTGAGATGAATGGTAGAGGAAGGTATCCGCCGGGAATGGGCATGGGACGGGGCGGGGGTGTCAATGCCAACCCTAGCTTTCAGTCGAGGGGACCTCAGCAGCAGTACGTGCAGAGGAGTTTTATGCAAAATCACCAGCAGTTTCAGCAGCAACAGCATCAGCAGCAACAGCATCAGCAGCATCAGCAGCAACAGCATCAGCAGCATCAGCAGCAGTGGCTTAGACGAGGCCAGTTGCCTGGTAATGATTCTAGCGCGATAGATGAGGTCGAGAAGACTGTACAATCTGAAGCCGTGGACTCGAGGTTTGTTTTCTCTCTTATGTATTTGTATGTGCATCATTTCTGTAATTTATTGGCGTTTATGTTTGTTCGTCTCTATATATGGATGGATGTGAGTGGGATAGAGAACAAGCTCACTGGGTTTAAGATTCGAATATGGAATTTATAGGCATTAAGTTGAAATATGCTGACTTTTAGTTCCTTCTGTTGCCTTCCACTTTTGGGAAAGAATTTTATGTACTGTGATGCCTAGCATTTATTCTCTGTTGTTATTCTCCCTTTGTTATTCACTCCCACTTCAGCTATTGAGTCTGTTGAAATTCGCCTTATATTGGGATGTCATATTTGTACGATTTGTACGATTTGTCCCTAGTTTCTTCATGTCATGTTGTACATTGTTTGCTGAATCTTACCAAATTTTCCTCCTCCAGCTCAAATGATTGGAAGGCAAGACTAAATATTCCACCACCTGATACACGCTATAGAACAGAGGTATGGTTGTCAATCTTGATTGTTCACATAATTTCTTTTGCTCAACAACATATGTAGTCCCAAAATTTTTTCATGAGTGCTTGTATTGCTCAGTTACCTTATTGGAGGCATTTGCAGACAAGATTTCATACATTTATCAACTGCATAAAATGGTTTCTTTTACTCTAATTAGTTAAAATGTGTTTTGTGAAGTATTTGTCTTTCTTGTTTGATGTATTGATCATTTCTTTCACATCATTCTGTGTGGTTAGTTAAGCACCTGCATGGAGGATCTCCTTTTTTTTTTTTCGTTTTTGGGTTTATAGACTTGGTTGACAGATAGATAGAGGGCATTGTTTGCATGATAAATGGATGATGTACTTTTTTTTTTTTGTCAATATTTATTTTAGTCCTAATCTGTTTGCTGACATTGTTTCCAGGATGTAACAGCTACTAAAGGAAATGAATTTGAGGACTATTTTCTAAAACGTGAGCTACTTATGGGAATATATGAGAAAGGTTTTGAAAGACCATCTCCAATCCAGGAGGAGAGTATTCCAATTGCTTTAACTGGTAGTGACATTCTTGCTAGAGCAAAAAATGGGACTGGGAAGACAGCTGCATTTTGCGTTCCAGCCTTGGAAAAAATTGACCAAGATAACAATGTAATTCAAGGTTAATCTCTATGTCCTTGTCACTTTTTCTTGCATGTAATTTTTCAGCCAAACTGAAAGATAAGGGCTGTTGTGAGTAGAATAGTTTTTGAATTTAGTTGCATAGATGAACCTTCTTGTTTTATATCATGTGCAAGTTGATTTCAAATTGCTGCTTCAACTTTACAATGATCTATGAAACAAGTAAATAAACTTCACTTTGTTTTGCGCCTGTATTGCATCTTTAATATTCATTCATTTTTTGTTCTGTACATTAACTCAGAGAATGTGGTCTTTGTAGTTGTTATACTTGTTCCAACTCGAGAGTTGGCACTTCAGACATCACAAGTATGTAAGGAGCTTGGGAAGCATTTGAAAATTCAAGTCATGGTCACCACAGGTGGTACCAGTCTTAAGGATGATATCATGCGTTTATATCAACCTGTCCATTTACTTGTTGGAACTCCCGGAAGAATCCTAGATCTTGCGAAGAAAGGTGTTTGCATTTTGAAAGATTGTTCAATGCTTGTTATGGATGAGGTAAATACTTATGGTGTCACTCTGAAGTGAATCCCATTTTTCCCTTGAAAATCCTGCCAAAAGAAAGCAAGAGTTAAATATTTGACTATTTTCTTTTTCTCCTAGTATGCCTGATTTTAACCCTTAAACTTCAAAATCTGATGGTATGCATTTCTTTATTCAGGCTGATAAACTTTTGTCCCCAGAGTTCCAACCTTCTATTGGGCAGCTGATTCGTTTTCTTCCAGCAAATCGCCAAATTTTGATGTATTCAGCTACTTTTCCTGTTACTGTTAAGGACTTTAAAGACAGATATCTACAAAAGCCTTACATTATTAATCTCATGGATGAGCTTACGCTGAAGGGTATTACACAATTCTATGCTTTTGTGGAAGAAAGACAGAAAGTCCACTGCCTAAATACCCTTTTCTCAAAGGTTTGATCTTGAATCATTTATAAGTTGATGCTCTTTGTTTGGCTTCTTTCTCCTTCTAAATATCAGTGCAATATTTTCCTTATATGCAGTTGCAAATAAACCAATCAATTATTTTCTGCAATTCGGTGAATCGTGTGGAACTGTTAGCCAAGAAAATTACAGAACTTGGCTACTCTTGCTTTTACATCCATGCAAAGATGCTCCAAGACCATCGTAATAGGGTTTTTCATGACTTCCGTAATGGTGCATGCAGGAATCTTGTTTGTACCGGTATGTTCTCTATGTTTTCTGTCCTGTAATATTGTATGTTTTCTTTACAAAATCCTACACTTTTTTTATTTAAATTGACTTATACAACTGATACAATTTAATGTGTTATTTGCACCAAGACATTTGGTTTCTACTTGACCACTCCCACTATGTTCTTATCAGACAACACAAGGAACTAAAGCAACAATTCTTACTGTTGCCTTCAACCACTTATTACATTGAATTTCAATGCTACCATTTGCACTAAATACCTTTTTGCATAATATAAACCATTTAATGTCTAGAACAGGGATATTAGGGTTTTTAATAGTCAATGTGTTAGATCTTGGGAGTATATTATTGAACCTCTAGGATAATGTCTTCTATCCTTCTCGCATATGGTTAGGTATTGGTTTTTGTATTAACGGATACTCATCCCAGTGTTTATGTTTGGAAGAATGACAGTGCTATTCTTCTTCCTCGGCAGTCTTGAAGTATGTGACATGTCAAATGATATTCTATAATACTAATAAGAGACTTATTTCTGTTGCAGATCTATTTACTAGGGGTATAGATATTCAAGCTGTGAATGTTGTCATTAACTTTGATTTTCCAAAGAACTCAGAAACATATCTTCACAGGGTACGCCGGTTATTTTCTTTTGCATTTCATGCTATATTATACCAGTTTTTCTATTCAGTTCTTATAGATATCCACTTAATGGACAGGTTGGTCGATCAGGAAGATTTGGACATCTTGGGTTAGCTGTGAATTTGATCACTTATGAAGATCGTTTTAACTTGTATGCAATTATCCTTTATGCCTTTGCCGGATTATTGACACTATTTATCGAGGATTTCATGATTTTATTGAATGTTATTTGTTATTTTTCAACAGGTATAGGATTGAGCAAGAACTTGGGACTGAAATTAAGCAAATTCCTCCACATATTGATCAGGCAATATACTGCCGGTAGTTTGTGGTGGAGATGCCATGTGGTTAACTGTAGCGTTAGTGGTGAGTAGTAATGACTAACTTCTTGTTATTCATGTTATAGTAATCCTTATTGTTAACAGTTATCCTACCATATGCTGTGGCAATTGATGATGTGTTATTTGCGATTTCTTTAGGGTTGATGATGTGGCCGTCGAGGTCATCTCCGTTTCTTGGGGACGTGTCTAGGAGATTTGATGATGTTTGGTGGATGACTAGTTGGTACTGTATGTTTTAACTCTTGGATGCTTTTATTGGTTTCTGGATTTTTTCTAGTCCTGAAACGTTAACAAGATCATAGAAGAGTAGTATATAACAGCTTATATAAAAGCCCAGATTTAGCTGGGTCCTCTATTTGATGAGTGTTTGGTAGTGTCTGCGTCAGTTGGAATTCTGTCATAGTGTGGAATGGTTAAAGAATGTCCCTTGTGACCGTTGTTTCTGTCGGTGCATTTATTCAGCTTTTAATCTGTTTTTCCAGTAATAAAAGCTTGCCATGAATTAAACCTCTTGGCTTGGCCATCTTTCTAAAATTGTCGTCTTATGTGTAATTTAAGTTTGTTTCGAGCTCTTATAAATCATGATCAAGGTGCTCCTCATTAAACCTGAGGCACTTAAAAAGGAGCAGTTTTTTCTTTGGGCAATATTTTTTCTTTCAGTGTCATTATTATGTCAATTTTACAGTTGGGCAAAACTCTCGTATCGACCTCTCAAAAATTAAAAAAAAAAAAAAGAAGTGACAAATTGTTTTTTTGTCACTTCTTTTTTTTAATTATTGATTAAAATAATTTACTTATTATGTAATATGTAATATCATTATATGTAGTTTTTTATTAAAAAATATTTAGTTGGTAAATAAACTTTGGATGTGAGATGATGTCATGGTAAATAAAAAGTAATTTGTTTTGATTAATAATTTAAAAAAGGTAATTTTATTTCATATTTTTGTTTTTTGCCCTGCTATTTGCGGGGAGGATTCCCGATTGTGCCTTGTAGCTGTGTATGATGTGTCTTGTACAGTGCTATATGTTTGGATTATATGATGATTTTAGGCGTATGAAATTCACTAATTGAGTGATCAATTTCTTTTGTATTCTCTTTGTTCAAATTTAGTAGATTTAATTTTGTATTTAGAGTGTCTAAATTTAATTGTTTTTTTAAATAGTATTTAATGAAATTAAATTTATTAAAAATGAAGGATGAAGTATATTAGTTTAACCAAGCAAGGGGCACTTCCCCACTGAATTCCTAGAGCTAAATGGGAGCTTAATTTATTTGGAGGAGCTTAATGTATGTGAGTTTTTTTAATTTATATTCTAAAAATATAATAAATATATTTTTTCGTATATTAAAAAAATAAAATCTTTTAATTATTTAATTAAATTCATTCCCTTTACATTAACACTAATAGTATGTTTGAGTTAAGAAAAATAAAGAAAAAAAAAGTTTTTAATTAATCAAATTATCTCATCTTTTTCAAAGGAAGGGAAAGAATTTTTAATTAATTAAATTATAATTCTTTAAAAACATTATAATTTGATTGATTAAAATTTTTTTTCCTTTTATTTTTTTTAATTCAAATATTTAATAAAACCCTTGGTCAAATGAGGATGGATGACATTTCTCCCTCTCCAAATTGCTTTGTTCAAGAAAAAAAAAAACATTGGATAAAATTAATGTTAGTTTTTATATTTTTTATATTTATTTATTCTTGCGGTGTAAGTGTAAAACCCAAAAAAAATTTTCGCTAAATAAAAAAATGGTGTCTATATAAATGAGAATTAATGGAAGATGGAAAGTTAATAATGTAATACTGTATAATTTGGCCGAAAATTAGTTTTAATGGTTAGCGGGACCTAAACCCGGGCCAGTCTCAGAAGCCCAATAACCAAGTTCGGTCCATAGCGTCATTCAAAGCCCAAGTTTCACATTCATTGATCCTTACTTCCGCAGACTTGGAGCCCAGCAAAAAAAATAGCCGTTGTGTGCTCGAGGCGGCCTGTCGTTGCCTCTTTGATTTTTCTGCAGTTTCCCCAGAACGTCTACGGTCCCCGATTCCGGCCCTCCCAGTTGGTCTAGCCGTCGACTCTGTTCCTCCTTTCTGAATTTTCGCCCTGATCTCTCTCAAAACTCACCTCATCAAAACCCTAGCAAGCACCAGATCTGTTTAATTTCTCTGAATCCGCTCCACTCCTTGAGCTTTTCAATCTACTCGTCTCCGATTCCACCGCTTCGGATTGGTGTTGCCGTCGGTCGAAATAAACCAATTTCTGCCGCTCCTACTTTCTGAATTTCTTCCGTTTTCTATCAAAACTCTCCTGATTCAAACCCTAGAAAAGTAGCAAGCACCAGATCTGTTTAATTTTTCTGAATCCGCACAACCTCTTGAGTTTTCAATTTCCATATCCAGATTCTACGATCCTGATCGGTCTTGCCGTTGATTAAAGGTAATCCAATTCCCTTTCCCTAATTTCATAACGCTCTGTTCTTCAGCTAATCAAATTTAGCATTCCATACTTCAGCTAATATTCTATTTATGTTTATCTCCATAATATTTCTAGATTATCTCGTTCACAAGTCATGAATTTAATTCAATTCGTTGTATAAATTGGGAGAATATAATGCGTACAATTTGCCTGCAATTGATTTAGATGTTTTTCTTCTTGTCAACCACAGTGGCAGTCATAACTCGTAAAGGTGAACTTTTACCTATACATAAGTTTGATTGTCCTCATTTTCCTCGTCAATGCCTGGTCTAGGTAAGATTTACTATTTTTTTGTCTTTTGAAACTCCCATTTGAGGAAATTCTTCACTTGCAAGCACTGCTCTTTTTACTTGCCAAAAGTTTCCTTTTTTACTTCATATTTAGTGCTTGTATGTAACTTATTGCACTTTCAGTGATATATTCCATGTATGTTTCCAACCAGGCAGTATGGACAAGATATCAAATGGCAGGAGCCTTCAACAAAACATGATATTACTTCTCTGGTAACAAAGATAAGGGAAACAGTAGAAACAATAGCCTATAAGATTTAGATATTTGCATGCGAAAGCCATGTTAGATGGTTAATATTTCCTTTTATTTTGTTTTTAAAGTGAACATTTCATTTGATATTTGTTTAAGCTTTATTGTTGAACAACTAGTTTTGTGCTGTGATGACTTGTATAACCTACAAGTTTGGTTTTGCTCTTCATATTCCTTGTGCATGTCACAAATTAAGGTTTTCTCGTCGTATTGTTGGATCCTATAATTTAAAGGTCTTTTTTCAGTCATTTACCTTTTGTTTTAGTTTTAATATATATCAAAACTAAAGATAGTGAATTTCTCTTAATTTATTACCTGCTGTTATATGTTACCTTTGTATTTTCTGATTACCTTTATTCAGCTAATGGAAACTTTGAGAAACAATTTATAAAAATGATGATGGGTCTGGTTTGATAAAATTGAGATTTATGTTTTGGGACCATTAAAATTACTGAAAAACAAGCATGTGCAGGAAATTTTTCTAAAAACATCTTAGTTAAGACCAATAATCATGTCTAGAGTTAATTTGCATGGATTTGTTTTACTAAGAGAGAAAATTTCGAAAATTTACAAGATTCAAAGAAACCACATTTTTTGTTTGAAAATGAATTGTCACTTGTGAAGGATCTTACCAAGTCCCAGCAGTCTTAGTTGTTTAAGGAGGAGAATAAAGCATGTTTGAGGAAATGAAAAAAATAAAGGTCCAGAAAAGGGTGGAAATTGGAAACATAAGCAAGTGAGGTGTTGGAGAGAAGTTGAGGCTCAAAAACGTGCACGAAAGGGGGACTCTGTCTCTTGGTAGTGCGAAGATTAGAAGGAATATACTGTGGAATATCTGTGTGGCAGTGGAAAGGGATGGTCTCCATTTGACCTTTTTGGTTTTGAATTTCATTTGGTTGAAATTTTAAAATTTTGTCAAGGTTTGAAAGGTAAAATATCTTTTCTCCACACTTTTTTTTTTCTTTTATCTTTTGCCCATCTCTAAGGTTCTGGAATGATGAAGTAATTGCTAAGGGTTTTGGATGTTGTGGAACTCTTACTTGATAAAAACCATGAATGTGATTGGCCTGGTAATAGAAGTTTGAATTTTAACTGTCATTTTCTTCATGCATCATGACTGTATGAAATGCTCAAAATCATGCTATTATAATATTATTGGTGCTTCCATAGGGTCAGAATTATACAATATGCATATGAGTTCCCTACACTTGTGAGAGATAGTTACATGCCAAGTTCAGTAAACTTAAGTTATGGTAGATTGTAGGACATGCAATGTCTTCTGATGTTATATTTATAGATTCTTTGGTTATGGGAGAGATGTCCATTAATTGCTTCGTTATACCCCCAATGGTAAAGTTTCAATAGGCAGGTGAGTTTAAGCTGGACCTTTAGAGTTGAAGGGGTGGTGACTACAACTGTAGTAGTAGTATTCAAACTAGTTGAAGGGGTAGTGATTACAAATGTAGTATTAGTTTTCAAACTAGTTGAGGGGTGGTGATTACAACTGTAGTATTAGGATTCAAGCTTCAGTGATGGTTTGCTGCAAATTGTGAAAGTGGTAGCTAAGTTGTCCGAACAACAGGAGTGCTTAGTAAAATATAACTAGAGAATAATAATGCATTTAGACTCATCTAATATTGACTGCTGAGTAAATGAAATTTAATGACTAAAACTTACAAGTCATAAATGGATATTCAACTGTTCTGTTTTAGATTTTAAGAGGCCTTTAACCTAAGCTGAAACAACATAAGCTGCTTACAACCCAAATCATGGTTGATCGTTTATGGGGACTAAATCTAGGCAATGGTTTTAGTTGTATTAGGTTTAGTTTTTTTTTTTTTTTTTTTTTTGGGGGTGGGGAGAGCGGGCGAGTGGGGAGGTGGGGGGGTGCATAGGGAATACTTTATGTGTTTAGTTGAAGTTGGTGGGGGAAAGTTTCTAGGTCAAAACATACGATTCCATTCACACCTTAGAATTATGTTTAGAGGTTCTTTATCCTGAATTTAGGGGGTACTTTGCATATATCATACATACCAGTATGCAATTTAATATATCATTTCCCCATTGGACAGAAAGTTGGAGCATATATCTGTCAGCTGTTACTAGAATAAATTTGAAGAGCTTGTTTTGGATTTAGGCATAGTTTAGATACACTATGGTGCCTCATGGATATTTAGTGTGGTTGGAGTGAAGTTGGTGCAAGGAGTTTGTTAGGTTTCAAAACAAGAGAAGATCTGAAATTTGCTGAAATTACTAAGATAGGTATGCTGATCATTGTAGTTGCAACTTGGTGTTTTGGTATCCTAGGTGTTTCTTAGGTATTGACTTGGAAAGGAGTAACATTTTTAATTAGGACAATGGTACTGCCCAGATACGGTAAAAAAAATGGAAGTAAACAAGAAAGAGGAAACTCGAAATTCATAGCTAATTGCAATGTCAGCCACCCAAATCTTTTGGAGTAAGGGGTTTAGGTTTTCTTAGTGAACTAATGAGCATTGATGAATTTGTGAAGTCTAATAGCATCATGGTTTAGGACACTTAGTGGAAGAAGTATCCAGTTCTTTTCCTATGCGGCTTATACGATAAAGTCATGTCCTTATTTGTGCCTTAAGGTTGTTGAATCAGTTTTAGAGAGGAGGTTGTGGATCCAGTTAGCTCACTTCTTAGTTGGCCCACATCTGTAATGTGATCCCGTCTCTAGAATGCTAATCTTTTCATTTCACATTTCTAGCCACCCAAGTCAATGTGAGGAGAACTACTTTAGTCCAACAATATTTCTAGTAAGTCAAGGGAAGCACTAATTTGAGCATTTCATACAATGCATGATGATAAGAGCATTTAATGTTCATATTTTTATTGGCAAGCAAATCACTTCATGCTTTAATTTAGTAAAAGATTTGCAAGATCGGAACTTTTTAACAATTATTTCATTATTTTGGGATATCTTCGTAAAGGGTAAAAGAAAAAGGAGAAGTGGAGAGATAACTTTTACTTTCCAACCTTAACAAATTTTGATAATTAATCCAAATGAGATTTGAAGTCCTAAGAGGTTAAAAAGAGGTAATCCCAATCCACTATGCACATTTAGACCCTTTGTATTCATTCGCCAGACATTACCGAGCCACTCCCACCTTCTGCGTAGAGAGAGACCTCGCCTCTCAAACAATTCTTCACAAGCTTTTGTTAAAATTTGCCTCTTTTTTTGATCTTTGTTTTCTCATCCCCTTCTACGTTCCTCATTTTCCTTTTTAGGCGCTGAGACAAATTGGGCTTTAGCTAGACCCGCCCACATTTGGCTCAACTCTAGGAACAGAAAAAGGGCGATTCTTACGTTGAATCGTATAAAATCTAATACTTTT